AGTTACCTTGTTCCTTGAACGAAATTCAAAATTGGAATCGCTGATTAACTCATATATAGCAATAATATATCCTGAAGTTGCTCCTATCAACATCTGAAGTAATATTTGATTCAAAATTTTTCTCGTGTTCCACACAGTCTTTTCCAGAAGGGAGAATAAGCATAGTTGTACAACGATCACAACTCCACCGCTTTCCCAACACGACTGATACATTTCCTTAATTCGCGAACCGCTCTCTCCGACTCACGCGTTGATTGGCTGAAATTTGAAGACCTGTCAAACCATAAATTAGCAAGAACGCTCAGATTGGTGCGACATAGGAAAATACTACAATCTGATTGTTTTGTGATACACCAAACTGAAATTGGGCCAATCACATTGCGTTGACATACACCAAAAAAAAGATGCACCAATCAGATGACTTAGAGATACACCAAATTGCGCTGATCAGATTACACTACACCACAATACACCAATCTATACGCTAACATATAGTTTTGTTTTTTTTTTAAAAAAATAACTCAAAAACAGTGGTCTTTTGGTGTAACTTACTCGCCTTCCTCACATTCAGGTTTCCTGTGTCGATATTTCCAGTGACAAGAAAAGACAAACAAAGAGCGGTCAGTGTCACCCAGGATACCATGGTGAACGATGTCAAACAGGCCCCAGTGAGTAGCAATAGAAACACCGTGACACCAAATACACACTGAGTGTTTATTTGGTGTCACGGTGTTTCTAAATATAAGGAATGTACCTTTAAGAATGAAACTGAATAACATATTTACACTTTCTTCCTCAGAGGGCTTGTATTCTTATCATCCTTCTTTTTCCTGCAAAGAAATTCGGAACGAAGGGCACCTTAAAACAGACGGGGAATACTGGATCGATCTCGAAAAGAATGGGAACGCTTTGAAGGTCTTCTGCGATATGAATACGGACGGAGGTAAGCTCGTATAAGCTTGTTCTAGTCGCACTTTCAACTTCGATCGATCGAGGATAATTGGGAGCAAGACAAGGGTAATAAAGAAATATAGGGGATAAGAACCATGTATAACTATGAAAATGGAAGCACAGAGGATGGTTGTATATTTCTCTTCTTGATAACCGAGGGAAACTTGTTTTGATAAATAAACAGACTTTTTCCGCCACATGGGAACGATTTCAAGGCGAAACTGCAAAGCCGAGGAGATAAAAAGGAACCAAAAGTCAATCGATCTTTTTTTAATTATAGTAGGGCTTCATTTTCTTGAAACGCACTCTCTCAACTGCTTCGTTTAGAACTTAGAGGAGGTGAGCTCCGTATTTCCTGCATTTTATTTGAAATCTTTAATGATTTTCTACAAACTGCTTCTCGACGCACGTAGTTTTAATCTTCCTGTTCATTTTAGGGGGCTGGCTTCTTGTTTCGAGCATTGTCATCGATAACGCCGCCCCAAATCAGATGAAAGTAGAGACATCATACCGCGGTATAAACTCCAGTCAGATGGTGCTATCGAAAGCTGCCATGAATGAACTGAGGTCACACTTGGGATTCACTCAAATACGATTCCACTGCAGTAAGCATCTGGGACGTATATTCCATGTGACCACAGCAGCTAACAGCACCGGGGAGGCTGTGGTCCAATACTTCAGCGGTCAGACGGACGTCCAACCAGATGCTTGTGGCTCATTTGTGCGAATGAAAAATGACAACTCGAATATGTCCAGACAGTGTCATCTGTGGGGATTGGAAAATGGAGCCTACAGAGTTGGGAAATGGGGACATAGCCAAGATCAGGATAGATTGTATAATTACCCGGCCTTTGTTTACCCCGATAAACAATGGTTTACTCGCCTGGATGGTTATAGGTTTTGTGATGATGCCGTTGGAAGTAACAAAACTGCCGGTGATTTTTGGAAAATTTACGTGCGTTGAGAAGCTTCTGCGAAAGCGAAGAAACTTCTCACGTACTGGACACGTGATCCCTTTTCTAAATTATAGAATCGGTTGAGAAGGCACCACGGACCTCTACTGGTTTTTCAATAATAATAATGATAAATAATCTATCTAGAAAAAGCTAACGTCACAATACGTGGTTTTCGGGGAGGTCTTCACTAACTAAGATAAAATAACGTAAAAAGTTTTAAATCTAAATTACAACCAGCCCAGAAAGACTACTACAGCAAGGTACTAAAATGCTGATGTTATAATAATAACCTCTTACTGACCGTACGTGAGGGCAGTACTTGAAGAGTATGGGCCCGAGGTCGTGGTGAGGACTGAACGCAGTGAGGTCCCGTTAAAAAGCAATGGAGGGTCAATATTGCACAGTACGGCTTGAGTAAGTCAGGTTTGTAAATAGTTTATTGTCATGCACTCGGACCAAACTTGTTTATTCTAAATTTTCTGGCTTCCGCGCAAACAAAAATACACGGCTTATGATTTGAGGCTTTTCTTTTTTTCCAGCAACTTTCCAGCGTTATATGCGTCTCATTATGCAATGATTTTCTTTGTTTTTAATCTGTGCCTACATCTGTTATTATCGTCATTATTATACTTTTATTTATACTATTCCCGTTATTATCATCATAATGATTATAGTGACAATTGCTGTCACAATTGTCGATGTCGTTAGTGATAATGTTACTATTCAACTGCGCTAATTCTAAAATTTTATATTCGTAGTCGTAGTCGTAGGATTCTTATTGTGAGCATGCAAGCAATTTTGTAATTATATTTATAAAATTTCCCCTTCTATACATTGTAAACCTTAGCAATTCAGTCCATGCTGCTATTAAGGTATTGAATAAAACGTTCTTCTCCTTTCTTTTTCTTTTAATTTTTATCAATATACCATCATCATCATCATCATTATCATTATTACAACATTGTTTTTTACCGCATGAATTAAACCTTCGTTGTTCCCATATTAGGGACCTTAAGCAAACCATAACGGTGACGGTAACGACGTCGTAACAAAACAAAAAGATCTAATGAGCAAAACAATAAGTCGGCAAGTGTGTCTTAAATCTCTATACATATGCATTACGTAGCCGTCTCCTGCATAACAATGTGAAATCGCCAAACTTTGCGTTCTGTGAGAACGGAATCTCGACTGCAAATTGTTTATGTTTCCATTTGGAACTCAACGCTGCTCAAATATATATTTTGAAGACTTTGAAGGGACGATAAACACATCCATCCAGCTTGAAATGATAATTCACATTTTTAATCGATGTCCTCTCCATTCACATCCATGTTGCCATCCTTAGTTGTAAAGTCCCGATTAGCTAAATTCTGAATTACAAATTGATATGCAATCATTGAAAACTCTCGCTCGTATACTTAGCAGCGATAGAAATTATTCCGACAAAAGTATGAAAGCAGCTTTGTGAGTCAATAGACAGTGAAGATAACAAACCGTTTCGGGCGGTGATCACTTCGTCGACAAAAGTATGAAAGCAACTTTGTGAGTCAATAGACAGTGAAGATAAGAAATCGTTTCGGGCGGTCATCACCTTGTCGAACAAAAAGCCTTTTCAGTAGAGATTGAAGATAAGAAATCGTTTCGGGCGGTGATCGCGTCGTTGAACAGATAGCTTTTCTTCAAAAGATATTTAAGATATAAATCGTATCAGGCAGGCGACGTACACCGTTTCTCTCTTGAGCAAAGGATTTTCATCTTTTAAAGGCAAAAATTACCGTATTTACCTGTATATAAAACGGGTCATGTATAATACGCACCCCGATTTTTTACCAAATATTTCATTAAAAGAAAGTTTTCACAGTAAAAAAACACGTTAATTCTTCCTACAATATTTATTAAGATAACAAACAATACTTGCATTACAAAATCTTCGAAATAACTTTATGTACCAGTAACTAACTGATTACCAAAAGGTTGAAAGGTACGTGCAAGGCTGCGGCAATTTAATAAAGTAAAACTAGATATGCAATGTGGAAAGATCAAAGAACGCCGGTTTCTGAAAATGTTCATAAGGCATTCTTCCCTTTGTTCTAGTCTAAGGAACGGCCCAATATCTCTAACCAGTGCGACTCTGCGGCAAGCTGCATCCTTCCCATCTGAAGATATTTCCTCGGCTCGTAGAGAGGCCAGGCTGCAGTTGCTTGAAGGGTAGGTAACGCTGGATATCCTGATACATCTCTCTCCAGTGGAGATAGTGCAGTACTTATTTTTAGCATTTATTACCCGGTTAGCGATTAATCCGTTAGTTGCGTTATCCACTCTTTATTAAGCAACCGGGTCCAGTGGGAATTTTAAAATGAACTTGCATATACTGACTCTGATGAACCGTGGCAGTGAAGTGAAAACGCAACATTAACTTTTCGTGGCAGCTGACAACGTGGAAGGATATTCAGTTATTCAATTCTTCAATCAAAATTTGGTTTACCAAGAACCATAATTGTCCCAATTATGGCTCTTGGTTTACCAATGATTTGGCTCCTTATCTGTCAACTTATTTCCATAGTAGACAGAAAGGGAACAAGAAAAGGCCTCGTAATCTTCTTGACCCTTTACGCCCTAACATCAGTATGCATATTCTCCATACTGTTTTCTATACATTTCCTAAGGTGCTGACAAGGAGAATTTGCTCAACAATCAAGAGCTTTTTTAGTTAGTGATCATTTCCATTATTCTCCTGACCTTATTGTGTGATTCAGGGGTGATATTGTAAGGAGAAATTAGATGTTAGTCACTCTTAGGGGCTAAAGGATTAATATAAAATTCCAGGAGACGAGCTTCTAAGGGAGCGCTATTGAATAACAAATTACTATCACTTGATTGCTTCGCATAGTTATCCAAAATACCTTTAATTATCACTGTTTTGCCGAATAGAGGTAGCCTTCTGAGTCAAACACACCCTGATTTGTTTGTAGTTTATTCAGACCTTTTTTACCTTCTTGTTGAATTTCATTTCGTCAATTCCTCTCTTAATGTAGGAAAAGGAAATTCCTACAATGATTGGGGTGTAAAGCGAGAGGAAAATAGACGACAAAGAGGGCTTGGAGTTTACTTTTAGATTTTAGCGGGGTCGGTTGATTGTTTCCTTGTACGTCTGCAATGAGAAAACTATTATCCTTTTTTTAATTTATCTTCCATCTCAAATACCTTCTGACACATTTTGCCGATTTCACAAGACAACAGACTTTGGCCAATACATAACCATCTTTATTTGCAAGTTTATTCTACACTCGCTGATTTAAGCTTTGCCTATCAGACTAGACAGCTATGTTATGATTAATGAATTGGACTGGCATCTATGAACACCTGGAGAAAAAAAAAAGGCGAAGTGCATTTGAGTAAAATCGACGCACATCATAGCTTTTTCTATTAATGCAATCCGTCTAACTGTTGAATTGATATTTTCATTGAAGTCTTCTTGGTCAATTTGTTGATCTTAAACTTATGAGAAGCAGCGTTTTTAAGTACCTATTTGCGGAAACAGCATCTCTTCTTACAATCACTTTGACAATGATTCATACACTCCATTTCACATGCTGGGTCATGTAAAAGATCAGCTCTTTCCTTTTCCAGGATTCTGGCACTATGAAGATTCTTCCCCTGGTCACGAGTTTCTGCTGGATAAAATCGGAAAAGCACTGTGAGCGTAGTACGAGGTACTAGCGTCTCATTAGGGTAGGAAACTTATCAAACATTTAACTGAAGCAAAAGGGCTGTCTCACTAGATATGCGCACTCACTGCAAGTTATACTGTATTTAACCGGCTCTTTTCTGTGAGACCATCTTATTTTTGGTGCCACTCAACTCCAGTCAAAAGCTTCCGGTAAGAAACCTAAGTCTAACAGTCTGACCGTGATTTACCACTCACCTTTCCATTTGCGGGAAGTTCGTGAGCGTGTTGCTACGGAGACAACAAGTAGTGCAAGCACGAGAAACCCAGCGGTCTTCATGGTGAAGAATTGACCCCTCTGAATCTGAAAATGATGTTATAATTAGATGATGTTATGTAGGAATGAATAAATGAATGAATGAATGAATGAATGAATGAATGAGAACTTTATTTACGTATCAATGTTTTTAGTAAACTGCTAGCAGACGGTAGTTGGTATGTGTGAGATTCAGCGCGGCGAATGTATTCGGTCGCCATATTTGACGGGGGATGATCTGGAACGAGTGTTTCCAGCTTTGTCCCCCACCCCTCTCCTCGCTTTATCACTCGTCCCAGATCTTCCACCAGTCCTATATGGCAACCGAATATATTCGCCGCGCTGAATCTCGCGCGTACCAACCACCACCTGTAAGCAGCCTATGTTTTTAGCTGAAGATCAGCTAATTGGGGGCACCTAACTAAAGACAATATCAAATAACTAGTGCACAAAAATTAATAAGAAAATGATAACTACTTGTTAACAGCATAATAATTAACAACTATTTACCGAAGTGGAGGTGGTTAGTGGTGGATATTTACCGAGTCGCGAAGCGGCGAGGTAAATATTCACGCTAACCACCGACACCGAGTTGAATACTTGTTTTAGTATATACTAAAACAGTGAGATAATATACACCACCAAAAATTGATTTTAATTCATACAATCCAGCAACGATTCCAACATTTTCACGCGCGGAAGTGAANCATTTTTTTTTCTGTCATTTTTTTTATCTATTTATTTTGTTTCTTGCTACTTTGCGGGGTTAATAAATAGATAAATAAATAAATTCCTGTCAATGTTTTCGTTTTGATAGAGCCATAAAGTCCTTGGGGCGAGCGAGGAAGGGGAGAGGATCCCACTCTGGTAGCAAAATTGTAAACAGTTATTTCTTGAATGTATGTACAAGCGACTGAAATCTTGAGTGTATGTACCCAAAATACAAATTTTCATCGCCTAAGTTACCATGATATCTCAAATGAGCTGCGGGGCTCTCTCACAAAGCCACCTGTTGGTCAGGTGGTTGTTCGAGCCACAGGGTATCTAAACGAGTTTTTCTTGCCTAAAATATTTGGGAAAGAGAGGAACGTAATTTGACGGAATTGTAATCTTAGTCTTAGAGAATCCATGCAAGTTTTTAACCACCACCCGTTCATTTTGGGAACTGTCGGTAGGCTGGGCTGGGCTCTAACAATGGAAGAGTTAAGCAAAGTGGCACGTTTGGAGAAAAAAGATCATTTGGGCTTCTATCACGTGAGTGAGTGAGTCACACTAACAAGTTTGGACATTAACTGAAAGATTGTCATTACTTGCAGAATCGCTTAAACAGAACAAATAATAAGTCATAAACACTTACCTTTTTAGAGGCTTACATGCAAACTGTATGAGCTCACGCAACTAATGAGCATATTACCTCGATTAGCTTGCAGTTATTAAAAACGCCCTTACCAAATATGAAAGCATGATTGTTCTTTAGATATCAGTTGATGCATAAGATAAGAAACCGCAGACAAATTGAGCTTGCATCGTGATAAAACTTTACTTCACAAAGCAAGCTCACTGAAGCGACTGAGCTGTGACGAAGAACTAAATGGGTGTGCTTTTCGACTATTTACTTTTCAATGAAGTCCGTTGCAGTAGATTTTCTGGCTGGCATTAAGGGAGAAATTTCCAAGTTCTGAAATGAAAGCAAAATGTACTTATGGCGAGCTAGCCACAATATATGCTAGTGACGGCATTTATCTCGCAATTATCCAAACTCCTACATAAGTACAACTAAACAGCTTTGATGACGAAATATTGAAGATAAAGAGTCATTAAGTGGCGCTTAACGCCCTCTCTTGAGACAAAGGCTGGTTATTTTACACCAGCGACAATCATGGCTGGTGGCTGTAACAGTCCAATATTTCCAATCAGCCCGACTTGTACGGCGAGCTGTAATAATCCAAACGGAAGATTTAATACCCAGAAGCGGAGGTTACACCGCTCCTAAAGAGGAAAAAGCTTT